TGCTTCTCGTCTGATTCTCTCTGACTCTACCTCCTTCTCTTTCTATATCTGTCTCCCTTTCTCTTGGTCTCTCCCTCTCCCTCCCTGTCTGTCTCCCTCTCTGTGTCTTTCCCTATCTCTCTGTCTCCACATCTCTTACTTCTTGCCTCTGGCTCCCTTTCTCTTGGTCTCTCCCTCTCCCTTGTCTGTCTGTCTCCCTCTCTGTGTCTTTCCCTATCTCTCTGTCTTCATGTCTTTTACTCCTTGGCTCTGTCTCCCTATTCTTGATCCCTGTCCCTCTCTGTCTCCCTGTCACTTGCCGTTTCCCTGTCTCTCTTTTCCTGTCCCTCAGCCTCCACCTGGTGCATCTGAAGGTTTCACATGTAGATATTATTCTCCAGGAGCCTGCCCACCCCACCATTCTCTGCATGTTCCTCTAACACCTCACTCCTCCTGGTCTTCCTTTATTGGGGTCCCACACCTGCTTGATTAGGGTACTGGCCTCATCTCTGAGCTAAGTCCTTAAACCTTTAATGCTTTGGCCAGATCATGTGAGCTCAAACCCCAAGCCCAGTGAGGGATTTCTGTGCAAATTATGTAATCTCTTTTCTAAGAAAAAGTTATCTCTTACAGGACTGTTGTGAGCAGGACAAAGGAGGCAGAGGAGAAGTTGAGTGACTTGTATCTTACATGCCTTCAAGTGGGCACCCTGACTCAGGGTGAGCCCATGCACCATGGAACAGAACATTCTCTGGTCCTGCATCAACCCCATGATTGGTCACAGATCAGACCATGTGACTCATAGGGATTTCATGGGTGATTTTCAGAAGTAGATTGCTAGGACTTTCTTCCTAGTCTGTGTTAGTCTGGAATCTCTTCGGTATCCTAGTACCTCACCAGCCTTCACTGACAGATGGATGATATGTTCGCTGGGAACTGAAACCATGGAACCACTAGTATTTGCTGATGGCTTCCTGTTTTCCCAATGTTGACTGAATAGGGTCTTAAGAATAACAAGAGCTTGTGATTTTGACTTGGAGAATTTCTGCCTTCTGGCTCTACCACCTCCAGAAGTTGCTGATACTTCTCCCACCTGCTCTCAAATACTGGTGGAATGAGGAAAGTTCCTGGCTATACGACCCGCGACATCTGATGGGGCAGAATTAAGAAATAACTAGCCAGAGAATTGAGCAGAAACTTGTTATAACAGAATTGAGGACCAGTCTGAAAATTCACTAATTTATCCATTCATCTTTATCGCTCTACTGGCTTTCTTTCTGCTCCTCTTCCTAATTTAAATGGTAGCCATTGGATGCTCCCCTGCTTGGGTCCAGACAAATACCTCAATTAAGTTCAGTGGTCATTATCCTTATGGTGGTGGTTATGTGCCGTGGAGTCGGAACCGACCCATAGAGACCCTGTACAGGGTTTCCAAGGCTGTAAATCTTTATGGGAGCAGAAAGCCTCATCTTTCTCCTGCAGAAGAGCTGGTAGTTTTGAACTGCTGACCTTAAGGTTTGCAGCACAATTCATAACCACTACACTACCAGAGCTCCTTATAAACACGTTCTAATCATCTTATATTAAGTTTGTTCAATTTCCAGCCTCCCAAAATCTATAACTTCCACCCCTAAATGGAACAAGTAGCTGAGTAAGTTCTCAAAAGTTTGTTTTCAAACTTCAGCTTTCAGTTTGTAATACCCATGTACCAACCAACTCTACTATTATTTTTTTCTTAATTTGCTCCACGTTTTTATTGAAACAAATGTATTTAAATATATACCACAGTAATAATAGTGATCTTGTAGATTTAATATGCTAGTTATATAGATTATATATATGTTGTTGTTAAGAGCTACTGAATCAGTTCTGACTCATAACGAACCTGTATAGGGTTTCCAAGGAG